AGAAATGGGACAGATTAAACCCCAGCCATAAACTAGTCAAACTGACATTATTATAAGCAGTTAGTTAGCTGTTCTGTATCATGCAGGTTGAGATGCCATCTGAAATAACAAGAAGACCATGCCAAGCCACTAACATCAAGTGTACTAAGTGACATTAAAATGACAGTAAACATACAGTACAATGGCGTTAACAAATGAGCAAAACGTGTCGGTGTGTCTCATAGTTATATTTGAAACATTTTAAACGGTAGATTTTTGAAAAGCAAGTAGTAATATAGCAGTAATAGTTTCCTAACTGTGCATATGACAAATAAACACTGACTTAATAATAAGGTTATGCATTAATAAAGTGGCTGTTCACTCGAACACACACAGTAGTAGCTTCATGTTAGCGTTAACTTCGCGTTCATGTAAAGTGCCACTTTCTCAGTGATGTTAAACAAAGTTTGGAGACAGAAAGGTAAATGTAACTTACGGTTCTTGTGGTTCCGCAACTTTAAGTTTCCCGTAGCGACGAGAGAAACAAAACAGGAGGACCGTTGCTACGGTGAAAAATGGACAGCGTTTCATGATTGGTAGTAGAAAGATGGATTTTAGCCATTTGATTGGCAACAGAAAGATGGACTCTGGCATGTGATTGGCTTAGAAAGATGGACCAGCGGTAAAAGCTGGGCTTAGCCATTTGATTCAAAGGAAAGACGGACTCTGGCATGTGATTGGCCTTTGAAAGATGGACCTGGATATGTGGTTGGCTGAATTTATACAGACTCTCGGTTGTCAGGTAGCGCTAAGTAGCGCTACGAACCCACGTTTTAAAACCTCTATTAATATAGATAATCCTGTCTAATTATATTGCATACTTTTATATAATATTATAAAGACGTTATATGGCGTCACGGTGCGCTGATGTGTACTACTAAACCATTAACAATACATTCAATGTACTGAACTGAGAAAAGGGAAGATTAGATACTGCTACCTGCGGTACATCGACATGTCTCATGTCTGTGCAGATTCTCAGTCATTCAGGTCATAGTAAACTGAAAAAATCAACTGGATTGATTTCTAGGTCGAAGACGTTTCACCTCTGATCCAATAGGCTTCATCAGTTCAGGACATGTCTCATATCGCCCTCTGGTGCCTAAAAACAGAAAGGGTTATGTTTCAGTTCACGCAACCGAATGGGTTTTAGACTGCTAATTGTTGAGGAGCTAACATACAATAAAGGCTGAATGGTCACGAAACACGGCCCACTTAAAGCCACAAAAAAAAAACTAGCTACTTGGATGGCTTTTACAAAAGCATAATTTTCTTAAGGGGATAATACCGCTCTTACAGCGACACAAAACTTGAAACAGTGGTTAATTGATTAGGCAACCACAAACTTACTATTGGTTTGCAACTTACAGTAGCGTTACATTATGTTTAAAGATTATTTTGCAGCGTTCGGCTACGATTAAGAATGTTTGGAGACACTAAGAAATATAAATACCGTCCCTAAATTAGGTAGGCTATTACCTGTTATCTGACTTGGTCTGCCTTTTAAACCACAGCCTTCCAAAAAGAAGGGAAAAAGACTCAAAATTGAAACTTCCGGTCGCCTTTTCAAGATAAGTGACAGGAAAATGAAATTAATAGCCTATCCATATAAAATACACCCTTACAAGTAAACGGTCCCCATTTAAAATCTTACTCATAGGCCTAAGTATTTTCAGCCAGAAATGTAGCCTACTAGTTTTGCATAGGAGGTTGAGACAATTTTATATAATGTATTTTATTTTGAATTTTTAATCTATCACAGTAAACATACAGCAACATATTTTTTATGTTGAGCCAATGTTTTTTGAATTTTGTAATTAATTAATTTGGAAAATAACCAGTAGCTTGCATGCCATGTAGTGTAGAAGAATTTTTAAAAAGAGTGATGTTTCCATCTGAAATATATTTCAGTACATGTGTAAGTTAACATAGGCCTACAATGGTAAAACTCAAGTAAACTAAAATACTTTAAAATTCTATACAATAGGCTACAGTACAGTACAGTAAATACTTCCACAACTGGTCCCACTGTTGTATATAGAGTAGCCTATATACCACCATAAACACTGGCATCAGTATTTACCACAGACATAAATAGCGCTGTGACAGTCTTAACAGATAATATCACTAACACAAGCACTATTTTTATATTTATAGCAGGGCTTTTGCATTAGTGTGCAGTGATTTTTTATGGGTAAGGCTCATAGGGTTAGGCTACTCAGTGTAGAATGAAAAAATCGCGATTTTATCAATTTAAAATTACATTTACAACATAGAGTATAAAATCTGAATCTGAATTCGCAAGCTACTGTGTAGGTGTGGTGAGCTTTAAGTCCGCTTTGCTTATCTCTGCTGTTATCAAATGTTCTAAGAAAACTGGCTTCTCCCTTGTAGTACGTGAACGCACCAAGGGCCTGGGTTCTCCTTTACGTCAAAGCACTGGGCGGTTCATGAATGGGGTTTTGAAGTGGGAGGACCCATTATCTCACTTTACCAGGAGGAAAAGTGGGTGTTGTTTGGTTTGGTGTGATGTATCTTCATGACTGTTTTTAAGCACATGAGCAGCGGTTCACTGTGCTTAGGGACTGCGATCGGCCCAGAGCAGCGTTAACATCCATCAGCAGAGACACAGGCCAACAGCAGCCGTACGGCAGGGGGGAAGCTAGCTCCAGTGTTCGTGAGCAATGGGTTTCCGTAAGAAGAACAAGAGTCCGCCGGTGCTGAGCCATGAGTTTGTGATCCAGAATCACGCCGATATGGTTTCGTGTTTGGCCATGATCATCCTCCTCGGCCTGATGTTCGAGGTACTGTGTGGTATGGCAGGAAAAGCGCAGGCGCTGATTTTAGCCGAATGTTATTAGCCGCTGCTAGCTAGCGTTAGCTGACATGGCAGCAGCACCCGAGGGGCAGGGCACTAGACTGTCTCTGTCCTCATGTATCTCACCATTTTCCAAGAAGGATGGCGAGCAGGCCCAGTGGTACAACTAACAGGTCATTTTGCCAGTCAGCAAATCAATACATGATGTACTACTGACTGTTTAAACGACATATTTATCCTTCCACTGGCCTGTCCCACCTAAACTCAGCTGACAGACTAAAAACGTTTTGAAAATATCTTTCCACTTTCCAGATCTCCATTTAGTTAAGATTTTATCTTAACATTTATCTTTGGAGAGCGGTGCTAACATGCAGGGGAAAGTGAAGCTCATAATACACACTCACCCTGATGCAATGATGGCCATTGTAATAAAGGCAGTGAACTTTAAATATACCTAATTTTGTAAGAGAATCCTGGGAGCCCCTCCAGTCAGCCTCTGGAGGTCTCCACACCCCCGTTATGACCTCAGTATGTGCATGAAATGATGAAGTTTGATACCACAAGACTAAACCAGGATTGAGTCATTAAGAATCAGGGTCCAGGTTAATCTTTGCTAATTCGACACATCCTTACCCTCTTTTCCAGCACAAACTCGGGTATAAGCCCTGTTTATTGATTGATTGAAAAATGTGACAGGCACCTATAAATACAAATAGTAAGTGATGGTCACTTAAAAATTCAAACAGTTACAGGTTGTAAAAAATATAGTTTCAATGTTTCATACTTTATACACAAAAAACTGAAAATGTAAGAATTAAAATATATGTAATACTGTTTTAAATATGTAATACAGTTTTATTTTGACTCTTGCATCTTTTTATGCCCGTAAGTCACTAAATATTCATTACATTTTAAACGTTTCTTTTTAGTGGCCAGCAGACATGACTGGTGTGTCTAGCTTGTTCCGATATGATATATATAAGTAAAATTTGTTTGCTATTAATTAAACATGCTCAACATGTTCACTGATCAATGCACAGACTCCAGAAAGGTAACACAAGTGAGCATAACATGGACAATCTAAGGGGATACAATGCTAGTATATCCACATGATGATTTGGCCTCCTTTGAAGGAAATCTGCCAGTGATCATTGACAGACCTTTACTCTCAATGTCAGTTCAATAATATTGTTTCTCTCTTGTTGTTCCAGGTCACAGCAAAGTTTGCCATAATGTTCATCACAGTCCAGTACAATGTTACTACACAAGTTCTCGGTGAGCCATATGTCCAGTAATCAGTTGGAAAAAAAAAAACTTTAATTTGTTAATAAGGATTCCCTGCATCTGATTTCTGATTGATTATTCTACATCTCTAGCCAGTGTTTAGCTTTACAGTTCTTTAATTTTTTTGCAGATGAGACGAGCGAGCCAGCGAACCTTTACCAGTATGGCCCTAAAGATGTGGCCACTGTGTTTTTCTACTTGCTTATTGCGGTCATCCTTCATGCCTTGATACAAGAATATATTCTTGATGTGAGTATCCAAGCTCGGCACCCATCATACTGGTTCACATCATCTTCCCTTTGGAGCACTGGCTTATTTATTTATGCATTTTTATCTTTTTAATTTTGTTTTCATAAATATGGTATGCGGTATACATATTATGGTATAAATGAAACAAACTCCTCATCTGTAACTTATCACAAGTCTGTTTTTACAAGAATTGAAGTAAATCGTAATATTGTCTGTGTACAGTAGTGTTTGTCTCTACAGTATGACTAATGTTTGGTCTATGACTGTTCATTCTGCAGAGCTCTGTGTGCACGACCACATAATGACTGAAACTATAACATCTTTTGGCTTTGATGCCAAGTCCCAGTGGGGTGTTACTAAGAGAGAAAACATATTTATTCAGAAAATTAGTTGAGCAGCTGTGGGGTTGGATAGAGCGGTCATCTCCCAATCGGAAGGTTGGTGGTTAGATTCCCAGTCTCCCCAGTCCGCATGTATGTGAACCATGTTCAACAGTGTACAAGGAATTTTTAAAAATATGTCCGTCTTAAAGAATAGGTTTACATTTTTTTTACTGTATGTCTGTTTCAAAACCGTAGTCAGAACCCATGTAACTATTAAAATATAGCTATAATTACTCCTCCACTTCATAGAGGTCATTAAAGGATCCCTTCCTTATGCACATACAGTTTAAGAGATGGGGTAAAAATCAGCAGCCCTTGTTTTTGTGGAAAAATACATTCTATCTGGGGCTCTGTGACACTTTGACATGTGGAGCGGAGGATCAAAACCAGCCCTGCGATCAAGAGATGACCCTCCTGAGCTGCCCAGATTGAAGACAGGTTTAAAAAGAATGCAGTGTTATCCCATGAGGTCAAAGAACTACAATTACAATATTTTTGGAAGAAGGAAAATGAGGAAAACCTACATGGTTACTCTAGTTAATCTAATACAATAATTATAACTCAGTAATGGGCAGGTTTTTTTATACTTAATCTTTTTTCCTTAAAAATCAGGTAGTGAAAATGTATTCACAAATATTTTTGTTCTGAAATGAGATGTTAACAGGTGAAATGTGATGAATGTGTTCACCTTGTGTAATGTTTTTGTTTATTTTCAGAAAGTGAACAGAAGGTTGCACCTGTCAAAAACCAAACACAGCAAGTTCAACGAGTCTGGGCAGCTTGCAGCCTTCTACCTGTTCTCCTTTGTCTGGGGCTGCAGCATCCTTACAGCGGTATGAGGGTCAGGAGTCACAGAAACACACTGTGCCACTGCATTAAGCTTTACCTTACACAGTGTCTCTGCTTCTCTGACAGGAGGACTTTGCAAGAAATCCTACTTTCTTATGGGAGGGTTACCCACACACTCACATGGTGTAAGTCAAGATTTATTGACTCCTGCACATCATAAGATTGTATTTTATAACTGTGATTAAGCCCAGAAAAGTGAAGCACTTCATTCCAGTTATAAATGAGCTAATTTATTGGGAAGGATTTTGATTCAGCTGTATTCTGAGCTTTAGCAGTTTCAGCTCTGCTTTTATAATGCATGATGCACTTGTGTTTTTCATGTGATTTTTGGAGTTTGTCATTATTTTCTATATTCAGTCTGAGCATTCAATGAGGAAAAACATCAAAATATACAGATTGTGTTTCGGATTTTGGGTCAAGCTATGTTCTTTTCTCTTTTCTTTTTTGTGACTTGTTGTGGATGTCAGTGTATTTTAAATTGCTACAAAATAGTGCAACATGCAGCACAAGATTAGTTGTATATTAATGTGATATAATTTCTGTCCATGCCAAAATAACACCCAGGCACAACCTGTGTTTTGTCTAGTTTTCAGGTCAAGTTCTTCTACATTTGCCAAATTGCCTATTGGCTCCACGCACTTCCTGAACTGTACTTTCAAAAAATACGGAAGGTAAGGTACAGTTAAAAAGTTATGTTCTATAAAATGTTTTTGCCCTATGTTAGCAGAGCATCAGCTTTTTTATATACAGTGCCTTGCGAAAGTATTCGGCCCCCTTGAACTTTGCGACCTTTTGCCACATTTCAGGCTTCAAACATAAAGATATAAAACTGTAATTTTTTGTGAAGAATCAACAACAAGTGGGACACAATCATGAAGTGGAACGAAATTTATTGGATATTTCAAACGTTTTTAACAAATAAAAAACTGAAAAACTGGGCGTGCAAAATTATTCAGCCCCCTTAAGTTAATACTTTGTAGCGCCACCTTTTGCTGCGATTACAGCTGTAAGTCGCTTGGGGTATGTCTCTATCAGTTTTGCACATCAAGAGACTGAAATTTTTGCCCATTCCTCCTGCAAAACAGCTCGAGCTCAGTGAGATTGGATGGAGAGCGTTTGTGAACAGCAGTTTTCAGTTCTTTCCACAGATTCTCGATTGGATTCAGGTCTGGACTTTGACTTGACCATTCTAACACCTGGATATGTTTATTTGTGAACCATTCCATTGTAGATTTTGCTTTATGTTTTGGATCATTGTCTTGTTGGAAGACAAATCTCCGTCCCAGTCTCAGGTCTTTTGCAGACTCCATCAGGTTTCCATCCAGAATGGTCCTGTATTTGGCTCCATCCATCTTCCCATCAATTTTAACCATCTTCCCTGTCCCTGCTGAAGAAAGCAGGCCCAAACCATGATGCTGCCACCACCATGTTTGACAGTGGGGATGGTGTGTTCAGGGTGATGAGCTGTGTTGCTTTTACGCCAAACATAACGTTTTGCATTGTTGCCAAAAAGTTCGATTTTGGTTTCATCTGACCAGAGCACCTTCTTCCACATGTTTGGTGTGTCTCCCAGGTGGCTTGTGGCAAACTTTAAACGACACTTTTTATGGATATCTTTAAGAAATGGCTTTCTTCTTGCCACTCTTCCATAAAGGCCAGATTTGTGCAGTATACGACTGATTGTTGTCCTATGGACAGAGTCTCCCACCTCAGCTGTAGATCTCTGCAGTTCATCCAGAGTGATCATGGGCCTCTTGGCTGCATCTCTGATCAGTCTTCTCCTTGTATGAGCTGAAAGTTTAGAGGGACGGCCAGGTCTTGGTAGATTTGCAGTGGTCTGATACTCCTTCCATTTCAATATTATCGCTTGCACAGTGCTCCTTGGGATGTTTAAAGCTTGGGAAATCTTTTTGTATCCAAATCCGGCTTTAAACTTCTCCACAACAGTATCTCGGACCTGCCTGGTGTGTTCCTTGTTCTTCATGATGCTCTCTGCGCTTTAAACAGACCTCTGAGACTATCACAGTGCAGGTGCATTTATACGGAGACTTGATTACACACAGGTGGATTCTATTTATCATCATTAGTCATTTAGGTCAACATTGGATCATTCAGAGATCCTCACTGAACTTCTGGAGAGAGTTTGCTGCACTGAAAGTAAAGGGGCTGAATAATTTTGCACGCCCAATTATTCAGTTTTTTATTTGTTAAAAAAATATATATATATATCAGTGGCCCTTGTAAAACTTGGTGCTTTACAGGCATACCATCCATATTACCTCTTAAGGAGTGGATAAGAACTTGAAACAACAATATGTAACATTTTTACATTAAAATAACAGCTTCAAAATCATTTTGCTGTCCCTCTGACATGTAATAAGGTGAGTGGCATCTCTTCCATTACCACTGTTTACCTGGATCATCTGTTATTGCACCATGTAAATTTGGATCACCGTCCTGGAGACCTCTTGCGTAACACTTTACAACACCACGTCACACACAACTACAACCCTTCAGCTCTAGTTCTAGAAGAAGGCAGAGGTGGCAAAGAGACCGAAAAAGGCCATGTTGGAGGCAGAGAAAAATTAGAGTGACCAAACAGTAAAACTATAGAAAGAACTGCACTATTGGCAACGTATGAATTATACTTTGTAAATGAGCAGGGTTGCTGTAAAGTACTGTTACTACTGTTCCGACGTCAGCTGTAGGGATCTGCTAACACGAAAACAACAACAACAGCACGACAACAGAGTGCACATCTCTCCTAACTGCTAACACGAAAACAACAACAACACGACAACAGAGTGCACATCTCTCCTAATGCTATTTATGAAATAGGCTGTAACCCTGTCGATGTCATCCCATCTCACAGAGATTTCTGTTTTTTCCAGATGTCAAAAGTCATCTTCCTCCAACCCCCAAATAAATTAATTCATCTCACACCAGAAAGTTTGGTCAGCCTTTGTCATGGTCACACCAAAAAAGCCTAACAAACCTACCTCGGCTAGCTTGTCATAAATTACACTGCCCAATGTGTATTATGTGCAATATGAGACTATATCATGTTGCCATCATCATTTCATTTGATTACACACATCCACATTCAAATGCTTAGCAGACTATCTGAAAATACAAGCAGTATTTCAGTAAAACAAACAAAAAAAAGCCATTCTTATTTGTGATTCTTTTTGTTATGAGTGTTCATCTTCAATGTCACGATAAATAAAACTATGGAGAGTTGTATTTGTATAAAATCCTGTAATATTGCTTTACCATTCTGTGGCTTCTGACAATTTCTTTCCTGGTTCAGTAACAGCTTCAGCTTGTAAACAAATGCACATGTACCACCCTCCATGAGGAGGGGTCAAAGTGCAACTGGTATTTATGGCATTAGTGTAAAAGTGAATTATACTCAGCATCTGTAGAGGGCGCCAAACAGTCAAAGTACTTACTGGGGCTTTAAGGCCCTCATTCTTACATCCTATATGTCAGCTAATGATAAACGTCCTTATACCAGTTGATGAGTACAAAGATTTCAGTGCTCTGAGCCTATGTTTTGTCAGTGAAAAACATTTCCAGTAAATGAAGCTGTCATGTTGGATGTGAAAAGTACTGATACAGACTCTCTTCTGCTCTCTACAGGAGGACATCCCCCGCCAGCTCTATTACATTTGCCTTTATGTTGTCCACATCATTGGTGCTTATGTCTTAAAGTGAGTGAAATAGTGTAGTTTTCTGTGTAAGGATGAATGAAACAATATTCACAAGAAGAATATTCCATCTTTATTCCTCATATAAACTCTTGCTCACCTGCACATCACTTTTTGTTTCTTCAGGCCCTGAATTGTCCTCATTTATTTCTGTGTTGCCTTCCCTCTCTCTGTGTCCTGTCTGTTCAGCTTCCACCGACTGGGCCTGGTATTGCTCGTCCCTCACTACCTGGTGGAGCTCCTGTTCCATGCTTCACGCCTTTTTTACTTCAGTGATGAGAACAAGCAGAAAGGGTAACGTTTTCCTAGCATGTATTGTTTGGTGGATAGCAGCACCTTGCCTGTCTGAGCAACCTGATGTCATATCTTTTTTTTTTTCTTTTTTTTTTTTTTTACCTTTATAGTTTTACTCTGTGGGCCCTGCTTTTTGTCATCGCCCGCCTCCTCACCCTCACACTCTCAGTTCTGACGTTTGGCTTTGGGCTGCCCCGTACAGAAAACCAGGGCTTTTCCTTAGCTGAAGGCAACTTCAATGTTCTCACCATAAGGCAAGTCCAGATGGCAACGTACAGGGAGAGCTCTTAATGCCTCATACCTCGATAATTTACCACTGGTATTGTGCTTAAAGACAAATTAAAAAAAAAAAAAAAGGTCAGTGTTTTGTTTTCATGTTCAGCAGCTGAATCACTTTAACTTCTTAAATTGTGTCCTCCCCACTTGTCAGGATGACTTGTTTGGCAGCTATCTGCCTTACGCAGGCCTGGATGATGTGGAAATTCATTAACTTCCAGTTGAAAAAGTGGAGGGAGCACAGCCAGAACCAGGCCTCAAAGAGGAAGACGCAAAGTCCAAAGAGCACGCCTCACAAAAGGGATCCTACAAGGGGTGAGTATTCAGGAACGTCAGCATCTGGTCAGTTGTGATTTTGTGTTTTAGTTTATATTTTAAATACTTAATGTGTAAGATTTGTTTGCTGTACAGTATATCACCTTAATTGAGGATGTTTCTGTCCACTTAACAGGTGGTGCTGCCAATGGGGTTGTGAAATCTGAGGATAAAACATCACCACGGGCAAGAAAAGCCAAAGCTTCGTAGAGATGGAAAAACTGGGGGGACTGAGTGAGGGAGTTCTGACAATGTGACATTGTCTCTACACAACTCCACATTTTCTCTACTGCTCTCCAAAACAACTATGTAAGCGCACTAAGAAACCTTACATAACTGTCCCTTTGGGGTTGAAGTTCTCTATGGAGAAGTTCAGTGTTAACGGTCTGCTAGAAATGTTTATTATTAATATGGGTTCTCAACAGATGGGACATGGGCAGAACAGAGCTGGTTTTGATGCTTTAACAGGTAGATACAGCTCTTCAAAGTGTCCTTTTGTGTGGAACTCTAATCGCTCTTCGGGTACTTTAAACTGAGTTGTTCTTCAGTAATTTCACATTAAATTAGTTAACATCACAGTAAGGTACCTTAAAAAGCTAATTTTGACTTCAGGGCAACTTAATATAAAATGGTAATGTACAGATTAAATGTACGAGTTGTCATTTTAAGTTAGGGCCTTATTCAGTTCAACTCACAGAACAGGCCACTGGATCATGTCCCAAAATAAAACCTTTCTGCTCTGCAGGACATATCATGCTGTTGTCAGGAAAAGATCCTAAATGAATATCAAATCAAATCAAATTTTATTTGTATAGCGCCAAATCACAACAAAAGTCATGGGAGAGAGGAGGCACAAAGTTAGTAATGTGTAATGGTGGCATATAGAAGCATAGGGAGAGAGAGGAGAGGAGAGGAGAGAGGAGGGGAGGGGAAAGAAACTCAGAGCATCATGGGGCCCCCCCAGCAGCCTAGGCCTATAGCAGCATAACTAAGGGAAGGCTCAGGGTCACCTGATCCAGCCCTAACTATAAGCTTTATCAAAAAGGAACGTCTTAAGTCTAATCTTAAAGGTAGAGAGGGTGTCCGCCTCCCAAACTGAGACTGGGAGTTGGTTCCATAGGAGAGGAGCTTGATAGCTAAAGGCTCTGCCTCC